CTTCACCACAAAACGTCTATCTGAAAATAGTACCAGGATGCCTGCACATGCAGTGAAATTATCAGTCTGCAGGTGACCAGGAGGTGAGACCGCCGAGCTGGAGCAGGTCCGGCCCTTTGGTTGGTGCACGGCTAGATAATGGAACCCAGCCCTGCTCGCCCTGAGCACCAGCTCTGACTGCCCACCTGCTCTGTGACCGGTCCTCCTGCTGCCCCCATGGTGCCCTGGGCTTTTCACAGGCTTGTACTAGTTACCGTTGCCATGTTTTAATCACAAAAGGATGGTCTCCTTCACCGCCTGCACCCCTCCTGTGTGTTATCACCATGCGGCTGGGTGAGGGGCTGTCTGAGAGGTAGCAGGCTCTCTGACCTGGAGGAGGTGCACCTGCTGTGTCCTGCTTTGGGTTTTATAACTTACCCGGAACTGGGGATTAGCAGCTTTGGTGTCAAGAAATCTGATAGTGCCGGACGGCTAAATCAATCCCACTGGTCTCTGTTGTCAGGTTTCCACAAGCACGAAGTGCTTGACCTTGCACGTTCTGACCTATTTTAGAAGGTCAGAGTTTGACCACCTCTTGCCAGAGACACGTGCAAAGGTGACTCTGAAGTCATGGGTTCCTTGAGCAGGAGTGGCTGTCGGGCCCTCCAGGCCAGGGCATCTGTGCCCCAAAGGGTCCTGGCGGGGGCCGAGTGGGGGCTGGGTGTGGGGGCGGGAAGGACTGCGGTGAACTTCCTGTAGCAGAAGAGTCATGATTCCTGAACTTTGAAAACCGCTGCCCACCCAGAGGACCTCTGGCCACCTCTTTCATGCTCACCTAGTCTTGCACGATGGCATTTACCAACTCTAACACTTGAGCAGTTCAGAGCTGACCTGTCTATGTGCTTGCCCTCAAGTTCTGTAAGCGAAATGCTTTAACTTACTAAGAAATAAGCCAGGAAGACAAAAATATGTATTTACTCAAGGCAGCAAAGCACGGGGAGAAGTCTCTGGTGTTGGTCACCGTGATATCTAGAAAATACTTTTGAAGGACGCTATCTTTGGTAGATTGTTTCCGCTGGTAGTTGGAGTGTTTGCCACTCAGTGAGCTCTTGACCCAGTAATTCAGGAAATCAGATGCAGAAAAAACCATTATCAAGTTGAGAAGACAGGTGCACTCATCAAACATACGTGTTCAAGGGGAAAAGCCCACTTGGCCATATAGCGCGGGACTATGATTTCTCTCTGGGTCTTTAATTTAAAAACCATATGTAGTATGAGATCTCTTATAAGAGAAAGCCACCCGCAGTGGACTAGCTCTGACTCTCCTCAGAACGGATTTAACAGGTGCCCAAAAACGCAGGTCACAGTGACCTCTAGATGCAGCAGTCTCTAGAGGAACAAACTGGAGACTACGCTGACTTTGCCTGTTGCTTAGAACCGTTTCAAACAAGAAGTCAAGCTGATTTCAGAGTTTGTGGCATGTTCCCAGATGTCACTGGACAGACGGCGCACTTGACCGTCTCCTGGGCTCATCGTGGGAATGAGGATCAACAAGCTGGCAGTGTTACTCGGGGTTAAAAACTCAGTGTGGCTTTGAAGGGTTTTCTGTGGTTTTTATTCCCGTGCGAGTCATCGAACTAACTCTGAAGGCAAATTCCAAGAAGTTCAGAAAATATTTTGGGCTCTGGCTGTATTGGGATAAAGTACTCAAGCCTCCAAAGAGACTTCCACAGAAAACAGCACATCCGAATTTATAAATTACAGTATATTTTTGTAAAATCAGTCTTCTTAATTTAGTAACCACTTCCTTGTAAGCGAAAGACCGCTGAAAATTGCAGCTGGGAGATCTTTTCTAGGGTTGCACGAGCTCCATGAGTCTGCAGATGGAGGGTGAGTCACTTCCTGCCGCGCCCAGGCGTGCGGTCAGGAGCACACTGTGGATACACTAATCACAAAAATCCCTTTATCGCTCGCTGTCCCAGGGTCTCTATGCCGCCCGACATAAAGGATCTTTGGAGAACGTTCTACGTTTCAAAATACGTGTTAGGATTTACAGAACAATTTTCCACGTTCCTGCTCCAGCAGTTTATACATGTTTTTATTAAGTCACTGTTTAGATGCTGAGCAAGAACCCTGAAGGCGAAGAGGGTTTTTGTGTTCCCAGCACGGCCCCTGTGGAGCAGCAGAAGCTGGGCACAGTGCTTGTCCGGGGGGCATGAGCTGCGGGAATCCTCCACGGGCCAGGGCTGACAGCCACATGCAGCAGAGACACCCCTGACAAGCTGGGGATGCTCCCCGGCCTCTGTGTCCTCGTCAGCCCTGCAGCGTCTGGGGCGGCCCCATCCCCTGGGTCCCCGAGGTGGAGTGTGCAGAAATCACTCCCGCAGCTGTGGGCGTCGAGAGGGTGTTCACATCCTATTTTTGCCAAAGCCTGTGGGTAGCACACTTCTCCACTCTGCCCCGCCTGGGACAGCCTCGCATACACCTGTCCTCCTGGCCTCAGGAGTAATGGTTTCTCTCGTCCTCAGCGCCATGTGCACAGGCTTGGGAGGTAAGACCTCATGCCTCTGCGTAGGGGCCGTGTCCGTGTCCGCAAGGTGGCCGAGGCTCTGGAAGCTGGAGTCAGCCTGCAGGCCCGCTCCCAAGTGGTGTCCCCGCCGACCAGGCCTCTTGGAAGTGAGCTCAGTCTGCCCCACTGTGGATGTGGGCTTGTTGAGTGCTGTATCTGCAGCAGGCCATGCTGTGGCATGCATGCAGAGTGATGGGGGCCATTCTTTACAGGAGCCTGGGAGTTTGCCACACTCGGTGAACTGGATCCTCCCTCTGTCTGTCCTCTCTCTGTCTGCCTGCCATCTAGCTATCACCTGGCTCTCTACCTATTTTTAATATTCTGTTGAAGATCCCTGGGACGCCCTTAGAAGCAAGGAGGGCTTGCTTTTGCAGCCTCTGTGCTTGGGGAGCTCACACACGGGGCCCCGTGTAGATACCGCTTCTCTTAAGAGCTCCCTTTCCAGGAACCAGGCCTGGATCAGATCACACTCCAGCTTATCACCCTCACCCTCCACAGTGACAAGCACAGCGGCTCAGTACTTTATATGGAGTGGGCTAAAAATGCACAACGCGCACCCTCTAAGGTTCACGGAGGTGCGTTTAGAAGGTGCGCGTCACTGCCCTGTGAAGACTGTGGGCCTGTGCTGGGGGCTCTGGAGCGTCAGAGCCCCAGAGTCACGTGCTCCGTGCAGGGGGCGCAGGGAGGCTGGCCAGCTCCAACCTGCACCTGCTCTCCGCTTCTCTGCTTCGTTCCAGGCCACCGGTCCCTTTGCTGGTTGTCACACGTAACACCTCTGTGACTGTGACATGCACAGGTTTATGTGTATTTATGTATATGTAACTATGTAGTAGAAAATATTACATAACTATAACCTATTAGATGTTATATACAATGTATGCTCTGTATAGTATATAAAATATATATTGGTTGTATTTGTAATAGTATATAGTGTATCAATATATTAGAAGTATGAAACTAGGATTATATATTGTATATAATATATTCCATGTCATATACAATGTGTAACTATATAACAAATATGTACAAATACAGACAGGGACACAGGTGTGTGTGTTGGTGGCCTAGTATTATGTGTGTGACAAATAGGAAAGAGGAGGGTGGCATGGAATGAAAGAGAAGAAAGAGAAGTTGAGAGCAGGTTCACTCTGTAGAATTTATAAAAGTATGTGTAGGGGCGCCTGGGTGGCTCAGTCATTAAGCATCTGCCTTTGGCTCAGGTCATGATCCCAGGGTCCTGGGATCGAGCCCCACATCGGGCTCCCTGCTCGGTGGGAAGCCTGCTTCTCCCCCTCCCACTCCCCCTGCTTGTGTTCCTGCTCTCGCTATCTCTCTCTCTGACAAATAAATAAAAAAATCTTAAAAAAAAAAAAAGTATGTGTAGATGTATTCTCTCTATAAAATATAGAAATAATTCTATAATACCGTGTTTCTTGATATAAAGATAATGTAGTAATGCGTTCTATGTATTGTATACAATAGGGTAATATGTGTTACATATTATTAAGATGTAACGTATTGACCCAGTGAGTCACGTAACATAGTAGCGCATTTTTGGCGGGAAGGACACTTGTAAGCCCAGGTGCATGCATCGACGGCCGTAAAGACACCTGTGCAGTTGATTAACTTCCACACACGGGTCTCTACTCCGTGGGCCATTTCCTTTTGAACAATCTTTATTTTTCCCTTCCTCTTGACCTTCACTAGATTAGGAGATCTGAATCCCCTGTAGCGATCTGTTAGGATAAACTTTCTAAATGGTTAGTGCCTATCCCCTTTGTAAGGTTAAATGTCCTGGAGAGAGTCACGCAGGTAGAGACGCTCGTGGATGTTTCTCGTGGATGTTTCCGGATCCCTTGGTCTTGTGTAGTCTGGGGGGGGAGCAAGATGCACCTGGAGTCGGAAGGTCGTGGTCCTTGGGTCTCCGGGCAAAAGTGCGTGCTCACATTCCGCACACTCACCGGCCCTTGGGGTAGTCAGCTGCTGCTAACTGGAAGGTAGGGCCGACTGATGGCTGTGCTTCTTTTCCGAAATCTGGTGTGTCTATCCAGAGCAGCATGGATCGCCCTGGCCAACTGAGGCCCCGACAGGAATGCCGTGTGATTGACACCACGGTTTGCATGCGAGTTTGGTAGATTACAAACCATTTTGGGGTAAGTTTCTCCCCTTTCAGGCTCTCAGGCACTGTCAGGTGATAAACTAGCTTACTCCCCATCGTACTGCGACGGGTCTGGCAAGAAGTTTCCCTTCACTGGAGATTCCATCAGGAGGCTTTTCTGCACACTGAAGGCTTAGAACGAGCACTCGTCTTGCACTGCTCCTAACCACCAGGCTCTTCGGGGCTCAGGGTCCTCATCCTTTGCATTTTACAGAATTCACAGATCCATCTAATATCTAATGTCTCACTAGGGTTTAACCCCGTTTTACAAGGATTCCCGTTCTCTTCCCCCAGGGTTACCAAGGCATGGTTGATGGTGGCAGAAACATTGTTGAAGCCAGTTGGGAGAGCGTCTCGAGCATTCTCCAAGTGGTACGTGCTGACTTCTAATACTCTGTTTCTCTAAAGTAAGTCCCGCTTTTAAAATGTTGGAAACCTTTTATGTGTAGGCTCCGGTAATACTTAACACGGATTAATGTGCTGCCTGGCGTTACTCTCACCTACTTACACGGTAAAAAACCAAAAACGCCACCTTAATTTGTCATTTCATTAACATTTTTAAAAAGCTTTTACATCGTGGAAACAGAGGATTATTCTTGCAGTAAAAAGTTACGTGTGACCTCTCGTGTTCCCTATGGTCCTTGTGGCGGATTTCGGGTTTGTTTTTGTTTTTTTTAAGACCAGATTAACATCGAGGCCGCCTCGGTGTGTTGGTGCTGTGTTCACAGCAAATACCCCCGCCTGTTGGATTTTTGAGAGTCACTTGGTGTCAGTGTAACAAAGCCTGGGAATGGTCCCTCCCAGGGCGGCAGGATTTAGTGGGAACCCAGCCTCCCGGTTCTGGCCTGAACCAGTTGGGGCTCATCGCTCTGGTGTGCACAGGAATGAGGCGAGTCTGGCTTCAGGCGAAACATTGGCTTACTTTGAATTTAAAAGAAACCTGCCTGATTGTTTCACGCCTATAAATTCCCCAAACATAGTAACCAAGGGAAGCCTCCTAATCCTCAGAGAGGCGGATTACATGGAAAGAATGGACTTGACGAAAAGTTCTTCACTCGTGGTTGGACCTGTTGAAAGGCATGTATTAATCTGTAACTCATATTGAGTATTTTTAAAATAGAAACCAAATTGGTACCATCCCACCGAAGGTGCCTAGTGTGACGGAAGGATGAATCAAATAAACGTGGCACGCAGATATAAGTGGACTGTATGCAGCCTGAAGAAAGGAAGGGACTCCTGCAGGCTGGGACGGCGTGGGCGGACCTCCAGGGCATTATGCTGAGTGAAATAAGTCAGACACAGAGAGACAAATACCTTGTGATCTCACTTACATGTGGGATCTAAAAAAGCTGAACTCCCGGAAACAGCAAAACAGTGGTTGCCAGGCGCTGGGGGAGGGGAAATGGGGACGCGCCGGTCACAGGGCACAAACTTCCAGGCTGAAGACCAGTGAGTTCTAGATCGAACCTACAAGCATGGCGACTGTGGTTAATAACACTGTATTGTACCTTTGAAAGTTGTTAAGAGAATAAGTCTTAGTTCTCAACACACATACACACACGTGCAGGTGACTGAGGTGATGGATGGGTTAGTGAACTTGAGTACGGTGATCATTTCACATAAATCCTATGTTTCATACCAGTGCTGCATAATAATTACAGTTTTGAAACTTTCTTAAATAGTAGACCTGGAAAGTTCTTACGACAAAAAAAGCTAATGATGTCAACTGATAAGTAGATCTACGAACCTTCTTGCAGTGATCACGTCACAGTGAGTGCATAGATCACATCAGCGCCTCACGCACCCACGCTCACACGACGTGCTAGGTCCGTCAGCCCGGTGGGGAGACGGTAGTGGGTGTACATGTGATTGCCCAGGGAGACAGGACTTGCAGGCGCCCCTGAGTGTGTGGGGGCAGGGAGGGGTGCCTCCTTTGCATTCCTCAGCTGTAGCTTCGCTCCTGGGGCCCCAAGCATGTGATCCCCTCAGTGTGGATGGGCTGCTGACGCAGCTCCCAGTTGTTAGAAATCACATGATCCTCCGATCGCTCTTGGTCGAAGCAAAGTCCAGAGAGCCAGCTTATCTTCGCTGTGTGCCCTGCACCTTCGGCCCCGGCCCCCCTCTGCTGTGCCCACAATGCAGACTCACCGCACTCGCTGTCATCAGCGCAGGCTCCCTTTGCAGGGGGAGCGCCTCGCCTTACGAAGTGAGCGTGTACCTGAAGGACGGCCCACAAATGCAGGCTTGATAAGCGCATCCGATAAGCGCACCCTGCTTTTTTCCAAGTGCAACTAGGAATCGTTCGTTTTTGAAAAACCAAATGTGGAAAATCACGACTTCTCACTCTCGGAAGTTTGGATGAGCCAACTTGAATTTTCTTGAGATTTAGCTTTCAAAAAGGGTGCAGCAGGGAGATGTGCAAAAAAGGAAAAAAATCCCTTTGGCTCACTGGTCTCTGTCTTGCCCGTACATATGGTGAACTCTGATGGTACCAGGGGCTGCTGGACGTGCTGCTTCTCTGGCCAGCGCTGCATCCATCTGAGGCTCGGGGGTGTGGGGTCAGCCGCCCCACGCTCTACCACTGCACCACAGGCCTCCTGCATGGCTGGGTCATCCTGCAGACTCTTCTCCTCTGCGTCTTTACCTGACGGCTGTCCCGGTCTCCTGACCCTCGCTGGCTCCCCGTGGGCATGATGTCCATGCCTTTGTCCATCGTACCCACCCTTGAGCGACTTAAAAGATTAAATGAGGGGAACCTAATTCTGCAAGTCCTGCACGTATACAGTGGTATTCACATGCGCTGAGCTCCCCCACTTCCTCTCCTGCGGGAAGAAAATAAACACGTGTGGTTTTGTTTGTTTTCCAGGGAGGGACCATTATTGGCAGTGCTCGTTGCAAAGCCTTCCGCACTCGGGAAGGTCGCCTGAGAGCTGCTCATAACTTGGTTCAGCGGGGCATCACCAACCTGTGTGTGATCGGCGGGGACGGAAGTCTCACGGGGGCCAATATCTTCCGGAAAGAGTGGAGCGGGCTGTTGGAAGAGCTGGCCCAAAATGGTACATCCCTGCCTCTGTGTGCTGCTCGTGTGGGTTTTCTGTTCCCTCCGTTCATTTTCCGTTCCCTTCAGAGAGCTCTGACCTCACACGTCCGCCCATCTGACTGTGGAGAGGCATGAGGGGGGACGGTGCAGGTCTTCCGCTCCACCACCCGGACACTTGACCCTGTGCCTCCGAGAACGATGAGTTCTGTGTTCCTGGTCCTGCCCCGTGCCAGGCACTGCCCACCCCTGGCACAGGTTCGGGGAGCGCTCCGGAGGGCCATCTGAGCTAGTAGGTCTCCTGGTGTGTCCCCACTTGGCAGAGGAGACCCAGGGGCGGAGGAGAGGGCACGCTGGGCTGCCCTTCACCGCCCCTCCCTGCTCCACCGGGGCTCCTGAATGTCCACTTGTTGCAAGACTTGAGCTGAGATGTAGCAAACGCTCTGCTGGCCGATCTGGTCGCGTCCCTTCTCAGGCCGTGGGGGCAGGATTCTCGAGAACCCCCTGTGTTCCGTGACCTCTGTCTTAGAAGGGTGGTGATCCGTAATTCCGGTTCAGCATAAAACGTGACAGTGGGAGCGAACTGCCTGAAGGAACAGCACCTTCATGAAGCCGTTGCCCCAAGCCTCTGAGGTCCGTTCAGGGACTGGAGGTGGGCCGTCGGCCGCCTGTGGCTCGAGTTAAAGGGCACCTGCTGCATACGGGCCTGCCGCAGGCTCCGCGGTGGCCCAGAGGGGTCGCTGCTGGGTCCCCGCCTGTGCCCCGCTGACGAGCACATCTGCCGACCGCGCAGTGTTTGCTGAGAGCCGGGAGGTAGATCCCCGCCGACAGCCAGCCCCACGCGTGTGAGAAACCAGCGTCCCTAAGTACCGAATTCTGTGACGGGGCCGCGTCCTCACTTGGAGGCACGCGTGCCCGAGGCCGTGGCCGGAGAGAAGTCGGGTTCGACCCGCCGGACGCCGGGCACAGGCCCCGCGCGCCCGTCCGGCCATCACGCCCTACATGTGCAGAATGAGGTGGTTCAGAAGCCAAAACTGCACGTAGGAAGCCAGTGTAGAACCCCAGCTTTCTCGACCCGGACGCCCTGTTTCTCAGCAGCCTGGCGCCCGTGGCGTCGGCGCGGCTCCCGGTCACGGCCGGTGCTGGTTTCCCATGCAGGCGAGATCGACAAGGAGCAGGTGCAGAAGCACGCGTACCTCAACGTCGTGGGCATGGTGGGTTCCATCGACAACGACTTCTGTGGGACCGACATGACCATCGGCACCGACTCCGCCTTGCACAGGATAATCGAGGTTGTCGACGCCATCATGACCACCGCCCAGAGGTGACAGATGCGTGGGAGCCCGGGGAGGGCCGTGGGGTTAGATGTGCTGCGGTGTAGACGTCCGTGCCCGCCCTTCCCGGCTCTCCAGACCGGTGTTTTGATACAGTCTTGTTACTGAATGTTAGAAACCAGAGCAAGAAAATGGTTTCCCATTGACTTTTTATTTTCAACTGTAAAAGGTTACTCCTGTCCCTGATTTTAGGAGACAAAAGTGTTTGCTGGAGGGAAGACAAAATAATCCTAGCAGGAAGTCCTGTGCAAGGTCTGCGCGCGGCAGGACTGGATGTGGCCCCTTGTCCTCTGGCGCACTTGGCGCCTGAGGGCCCCGGGGGCGTTGGGGGAGCCCAGCGGTCGTTCCTAGCACCTGGAGTGCTCCCCGCCCTGCAAGCGCATAGCCCGGGCCGGCTCCCTATCCGGCGTGAGCTGCGTGTGCTGAGCGACGCGGCCGGTCCTGCTCCTCGGGAGGAGCCTAGAGGTGTCCTGGGAGTGCGCGTGTGTGCGGGAGAGCGAGCGCTCGCTCTAAAGTGTGTAGCTTCAAAGCCCCTTTGCGCGCAAGAGCTCGAAATGCTAGCACGGTGGCATCTGCTTTTGTAGAAAATGGGCCCTTTTTGGAAGCTTAGGTGCCGGCCATTACCATGAAGCAGGCTTTCCACCCTGCTTGTCAGTCAAAGTACTTCCCTGTTTGCTTTTCATGCGGTTCCCAGGGGTGGTAAGTGGATGTTTCCTTTGTCTCTTTTCCAGCCACCAGAGGACCTTTGTTCTCGAGGTGATGGGGAGACACTGCGGGTACGTATGTGTAGATGCAATTTGGATGGTGAGCACCCTCAGCTTGGCCCCCTCGAGAGCCCTGTGCCCCACAGGACAGACGCCCCCAGGCGGGAGCCCACTGTTGCCAATGCACGCTCATGTCCCGACTGCCCGGGGCCACCTCCGAGCTGTGGCTGCCCGGCAGCAGCCTTCCAAAATCGGTGCCGTTTCCGAATAGGTACCTCGCCCTGGTGAGCGCCCTGGCCTGTGGAGCGGACTGGGTGTTCCTTCCGGAATCCCCACCAGAAGAAGGCTGGCAGGAGAATATGTGCATCAAGCTGTCCGAGGTAACGTGCGTTCTGTGTCCCTCGACTGCCGGTGCCTCTGACCGCCGTGTGTAGCAGCCTGTGGGGGTCCCAGTCTGGATGGAAACTCTGTAGTTCTCAAGTGAGTCCAGGCTTGTCACGTAGGGTCTGCATTCACTGGCTCTTCACGTGCCCGGCTGCCCCCAGTGTCACAAAGGGGTGCAGTAGAGAAACCCCCAAAGCTTTGTATTCCACACAAAGCAGCAGCTGAAGGTTGAAGTAGTCTTAAGTAGAGATGATGGCTGTTAAGAGAAATCGGAGTCGGGGAGGAAATCCTGTTCCGTCTCCACTCACCAGTGTGAGCAGACACGTGTTTTGACCGCAAGCCACTCCTGGGCTGAGCCGTCCCCACCTCGCTGGGCGTGCGTCAGGTATGGTGGTGGATGGGGTACTCTGGACCAGGCCTTTCCTTCTGTTTGTGGTCTGGGGTTGCCTGTGTTCCCCCCTCAGCATTATTAGTGGAGGACACGTTGCCCTCTGGGAAGGCTTCTCAGGAGGACATACGAGCTTAGCTCCTGGGACAGAAATCCCAGCGTGGGGTGCATTTCCCAGCCACGTCATCACCGTCCTGCAGGTGCATAATGTAAGCATGTGGCACGGCTAGTTACGGCTGCATTCAGCAAGCACACACACTTTGCAGGTAGCCAGGTCACGTGTGCATTGCCACCACCTTCAGGTGACAGGTTCTAAGAAAGGAACTTGAGCAACGTACCCAACAAGCTTTGCTGACCCAAACGTGATGTAAAGAACTGCTGGTGAACGCCATAGCTTTGCTGGGAAGAATCGTGCCCATGGGAAGGTGGGGCTCAGCTGCGGAAGACCGGTGAACGCAGGAATGCCCCAAGTCCCAGTATTAACCGTGGACGTAATAAATCCACTCATTGTTTCTTGGTTCCGACCTGGGGACATGGGCCAGCTGGTGTGGGGTGATTCGTGGCTGGCTGCGTGACATTAGGGGTGGCACTGGCCTTAGACGGGGCGTGTGTGGCTCTGAGAACATGCATTTAATCACCAATCCTGCGGGGGCGGTGCCTGTTCCCGCCGGCCATCCTTCCTCCCCGCTGACAGCCCCAGGCCTGGTCCAGGGCAATGCGGTCACCGGCCAAGTTCTGGCGGCAGCCCTTGGGGACGGGGAAACACGCCCTTGATCCGAGACCGTGCATAGCGGTCACAAGGTCAGGGTAAGGTGGTAGGGCTGAGGCCCTATTTGGTTTTTAGGTGCTGAGTTTTGGATTTGGCCATTGTTTCCGTATCTGTGTGGTCTTGTCTGCAAACCTCCTTGGGTTTCAGACTTCATGAACAAGCTAGCACAAGAACAAGAAAGAGTTGGGGTCCCCGCATTAAGTGCTGGCGGATGTAAGGCGGATGGCTTGGACTCCCTTGTGCAGAAACACTTGATCTCGTCGTATCTGTAATTAATTTTTATTGGTTGTGGATGTAGCACTGTAAGAATTTTTCCAAATATCTTGTCAGGTAAGTTGGCCTAGGAAGCAAGCCTCAGAGCATGCCCCAAATCCGAGGCATTTTGGTCTAAAACAGGAAAGGCCTCTCTGAGGCATCACAGGTCCTAGGGTTGGGCCTCGGCTCTGCCACCTGCAGGGTGACCTTGGGCAGATGACCCACATTCCCAGGTCCTGAGTTCCTCAGGCCCCTGGTGCTGTCATGAGGACTCAGGGAAGGAATGCGTGCAGGTGTGGACATGGGAGGCGTCCGCACACCTGTCCAGGCACGGCGGCTTATCTTCCCACGGGCATGTGTAGACGACTCTTGTTCTGTAACCCTCTGGAATACTATGTTTTACGGATGCGTGTGGCTCCGTGGCCTAGTCCCGTATTCATGGACACGTCACATTCACTCTTTTTTTTTTTTTTTTTCACATTCACTCTTGTAGCTGCATCTTTACATCTCTTAGGAAGTATTTCTGACTAGTAAGCTCTTCGAAGTGGAGCACATTTATATCAACGTAAAAGCCAGCACCACACAGCAGATGTGCTTGAGGTGCCCTGCGGGGACCGGGCGAGCCTGGCCAGAACCAGCCAGCAGGGCGGCACGGGCCTGGCGGCCTCAGGCCCTGCCTGCGCTGGGGCTCACAGTCCCCACGGGAGGAGGGTCTTGGGACGGGATAGAGAACAGACTTGCTGAGAGTGATTTCCGGGCGTCGCGGGATGACGGCCGCCGTGAGCCTGTGGGGACGACAGATGTGGGCACCATGCCGGTCCGGCCGGGCCCGCGCAGGTGCGCCTCCACCTCTGCGCTCTCCTCTGCACCCCTCCTGCCTCCGGTGCAGGCCTGGGGCTCCGTGCTCTGACAGCAGTGGCCGGCCTTTGTGGCCGGGCTCACGGTGGGGTGGCGGGAAGCTCTGGCTTCCGAGGAGGTTGGAAGCCTGGTTTGCAGTATAGACACGCTGCAGGGCCCATGGCTGAGCTCATTGCCTGCTGGGGCCAAATGGCAAAGGAGCATGGCCCCCAGCCCAGGGCTGCCTGGCTGCTGGCCTGCGTCTGGGGTGATCTGACGGGCCCCTCCCGCCCCTGCTTCCTCCAGCTTCGTGCCCACAGTGCCTTGACCTGCCCCGCCGGTTGGAAACCCTGCTTGCGAAGTTAGGTGACAATTTCTACCTGGCAAGAGGCCAGTTCACCTGGGGCGAGGGGCCCTGGATTTGTTTGTTGTTAAAATGGTTTAGGTGTTTGAGGGTGTTCATTTTCTGTTTCCTCCAGAACCGTGCCCGGAAAAAAAGACTGAATATCATAATTGTGGCTGAGGGAGCCATAGATACCCAAAATAAACCTATTACCTCTGAGCAAATCAAGGAGGTGAGTGTGTCCGATTTTGCAGTTCTCCTCGGGCGCCAGCCTGGAAACGGGAGAGGGTAACGCGGCTGGCAGGGTTCGAGTTTGGAACGTTGTATTATTATCATGAAAACACTTTCTGTTCTTCCTGATATTTAAAGATGTTTTCGTAATGACTCACGACTTTAACGGCATGGGTCTCTTGAAGTTCCCGCCTTATTGTCGGGAATATTCCCCGAGGCCTCGGAGCCGCCCGTCAGTCGGGGAGATGCAGCGGGATGGGGGGCGGGGGTCCCAGTGCTGGGCATCAGCTGCCCCCGCCACGGATAAGGCTCAGGGGCTGGGGGGTGCACCCTCCGTGCTCTTGCAGGCGAGAGCGCCTGTTAGGCATGCGCCCATGCTGCACCCGGCCCCGCGGAGGGGCCCCCCCGGAGGCCCCGTTGCTGCGCGGCTCGCTCGAAGGTGCTGGCTCGTCGCACCAGCCCCGGGGTGGGCGGGACGGGCCAGGCTCTCCAGTTAGGCAGGTGGCTCCGCACGCTCCAGACGGGACACCGGGGAGACAGACCGCCAGACGGGCAGGCAGGCTCTGGTTGAAGCCGTCCATCACAGCGAAGGACGTTATCCGCTTGGCTTTGCAAAGTGGTTTCTCTCCTTTCCCTAACCAGCCGAGTGCCTGAGCCCCGAACGTGGGGAGCTGTGTGAAGGCGCTCGGCCAGTACCGAAAGAAGCAGTAAGGGCCAAGGTTTTCTTTCCCACTCCAGCGAAGCTGAGCGTGAATCCTGGACTCGGGGGGCCGCAGGCTTCATGGAACCCCCACCCCGTTTTTATAGAGGAGGAGGTGAGGTCTGGGGAGGATGGGGCCTGGCCCAGCTCTCGTGGGGCCCAGCCCGAGGGGGCGCCGTGGTTGACCACAGCGTGCTTTTCAGATTCAGCTGTACCAGCTTAAGGGGCTGCCGGGAAACGTCTGCATTTCCATAAAATATCACGGATATCGTGTCCTTTTTTAAAAAATCATGTTACTTATGTTCATTTGCAAGGTAGGAGAGACAAAGATTTTATTTGATAATAAAAGCGTTCTTTTTAAGAAAAACTTCAGCTCACCATTAAGCTGAACATCCTTTTAGGAAGTGAAATTTAGAAACTAGAATTTTTTCCCACGTCGGTGTGAAGCGAAGAGTAGAGAGACCTCTGGGGCGCCAGCACCCTGCACGAGGTGACCCCCTGCATTACGTGCTGTGTTTCCTGTAGCTCGTGGTCAAGCAGCTGGGATACGACACGCGGGTGACCATCCTTGGACACGTGCAGAGAGGTGGGACTCCTTCGGCCTTTGACAGGATTTTGGTGAGTGAGGATGGAAATGGTCAGGTGCCTTCCCCTGGGAGTGAGGAGGAATGGTTTGTCACAAAGACCGTCCGGCTCAGAGCGTCTCTGCCTGCAGTGTAGGTGGCCCGTCCTGGACATGCTAACTGTGCTCGGCCCCCAGTCACACAGATGCTGGGAGACCCCCAAACCTGGGGGGTGAGGGTGGCAGGGACTCTAGAGAACACAGCCTGCGTGCAGGTGTCTAGCCCAGGCCCCAGGTCAGCAGAGGCCCAGTCCAGTTTCGTGGGTGTTGGTGTTGGGTGCCCTCCGTGCCTCTGACCTTCCCCTTCACTCCCCTGTGCCAGCCACTTCCTAGTGGGGCCGAAATGTCCTTGTTGGAGGTGGGTTAAAAGTAAGCAGGTGGACTGTCGGTAGCTCTTCGGGACGCAGTTCAGGAGGATGGGAGGCAGGTTGAGTCCCTCTGAACACTGTGGGACAGGCTCTGCTCACGGATGCGTCTGCTGGGGCCACCGAGGTCGTGCCTCTGAGGAGCCGGTGGCGGGAGGGCATGCTGCCTTGGCCTTTGACCTTGTCTTTGACCTTCGCGATTGTCCTTTCCAGGCTAGTCGCATGGGGGTGGAGGCCGTGGTCGCCCTTCTGCAGGCCACCCCAGAGACCCCGGCCTGCGTGGTGTCGCTGAGCGGGAACCAGGCTGTGCGCTTGCCGCTGGTGGAGTGCGTGCAGATGGTGAGTTCCGGGCATCCCCGCGCTCACTGAGGAGTCTGGTGCGGCTTCACTGAGCTCCCCCAAGGCACAATGTCGTGGGTCTGGGGCACATGGACTAACCTCCGCGAAGGTGAGGTCAGTGTGTCGGGAGGGAGCGTGTGCAGACGAAGAAGACGCGGAGGAACACGGGTCTGTGGGGCCCGTCCCGGGGGCGAGGTGGACGGGGCTGGAGCTCTGCGATTTCAGCTGCTCCTGCCCTCCTGTCCCTGAGGACCTTCCGACCAGAGAAGAGGCCGTGGGGCGGCTAATGCAGGTGACATCCTGATGTGCCCCAGCCTCCTTCAGGCCCGGGAGGGGGTGCCCCTGGACGTAGGGAAACGGGCTGTGGTTTTCCAGGTCACTGGCCACCTGAGGAGGTGGCAGCGAGTCACATTAGATGCCGTCCCTGTCTTTATTCTCCAAAGCCTATCCGCGACCGCCCTTTTCTTGGCCTTTCCGGCAGCTCTGAGTGAACGTACTGTGTAACCTAGACAGAGAGGTGATTACGTAATCACGTCCGGGGACTTGTTGAAAGTAGCCATAGAAACACGCTTTCCAGAAGGCTTTGGGGGTGAATAAATGTGCGTGCACGAGCGTGTGCGGCTGCAGGTGCGTGTGCATCTGCTATCTGTCAAGGGCCTGGCACGTTCCTCTCCCCAGTGACGACAGGGGGTCGGGGGTATTTTTCTTAGCGCACAGATGAGGGAGCTGACGTTCAGAGGGGAATAACTTGCCCAAGATCCTCACGTCGAGAGGGGCGGAGGCGGGCGTGAGCGCTTCCCCAGGGCTGCCGGCCCCCCGCACCACCATCCCCCCCACAGCGGCCCCCCGGCCCCTCGAGAGGCCGGTTCTGTCATGCTTCTTCCTCACCAGAATCCAGTGAGGAGTTGCTCAGAAGGCTGCCTGTCTAAGAGCCTGGTTTCGCTCTGGCTTTGCTCTCGGGGATTTCAGGATCTCCCTCCCCAGCTGGCTGTGCCCACCCCCATCCTTGTTCCCAAGCTGCCCGAGCCGCGCAGGCCCAGGCAAGTTCCTCGCAGCCGGCACTGGCTGTGACTTGCTGACCGTGGGCTGCCAGGCTGGAAGGTTCGGCGCGAAGCGGGCGGGCAGGAGCCGCGGAGTGCGGCAGCTCTGCTCATCCACAGACGTGGGAGTCTTGACACGTTCTCTCTTCCTTATTTGTTTGAAGACCCAGGACGTGCAGAGGGCCATGGACGAGAGGAGATTTAAGGACGCCGTGCGGCTCCGCGGGAGGTGACTATCCGGAGGGCTCTGCGTTCTCGGGCTGGCACTCTCTCGTGCTCCTTCGGTCCGAGCGCACAAAGTTGAAGGCTGAGACAGGCCGCGGGGCGCCGCTCTGTGGCCCGAGGGCCCTGATGGGTAGCTGGTCTGCTTTCTGGCCAGTGGGGCTGTTGAGAGCTTAGCGAGGTGCAGATAGAAAGGGGTTCGTGGCTGGCATTTTGAGAAAGACGCTGGAGTGCACAGAAGACCAGGTCTCTCAGCCACACGCACAGCACGCACCGTCGTAACTGGAAATACCCGGGGCCCTGGGGACGTGGGGTGGCGCCCCGAGCAGGTGCGTGCTGTGTGTGTCCGGCACAAGCCACCCTCCCAGGGGAGCCCCTCACGCTCTGCCCGCCCTGTAACCTCAGGCCCAATGGCGCCCTTTCCTTCCAGGAGCTTCGAGAGCAATCTGAACACCTACAAGCGGCTCGCCATCAAGTTGCCGGATGATCAGATCGTGAAGGTAGGGGACGCTGCGCTGTCCCGAGAGCCACCCCCATGTTCCCCGCGGACCCGCGCCTCTGGGCTCCCGGGCTGCGCACCCACCATGCGCTTGGTGGTGTGTGCGGCGCGGACACGGCCTGCCCTCCCCTGTCTCGCAGAGCAACTGTACCGTGGCCATCATCAACGTGGGGGCGCCCGCCGCCGGGATGAATGCCGCCGTGCGCTCGGCCGTGCGCGTGGGCATCTCAGACGGGCACAAGATGCTCGCCATCTACGACGGCTTTGAGGGTTTTGCCAAAGGCCAGGTGAGTCCCTGGGGGACGTCGTGGGGAACGGAGGACTGCCCTTCCTCGGCCGCAAACCTACGGCTCTGTGAAGAGGTGGACACGGTTGCTGCTCTTTGGGACGCCTTCTGCTCTGGATCCATCCTGGGGTTCGCGCTCTGGGCCCTGCAGGGATGCTCTGCGTGGAACGCACCACCGGTTTTGTCCCGGGGCCACTGGGGCCGTGGGGGCCGTGGGGGCCGTGGGGGCCGTAGGGGCCGGCCTTCGCGGGGAGGGGCCAACAGAGGCTATTGTGCCGTTGGAGGGGGCGCGGCCAGCAGGCACTCAGATGAGAGCTGGTGGAAAGAGCGAGCACACACTTCTTGTGTGCTTACTGTGTACGCTCAGTACTCCTACGAGGTCTGCAAACCCGAGATATCAGCCCCGTTCTCCTTACGCAGAAACGGAGGGGCACAGAGACACTAATTCTGTGTCACATGCTGCAGGAGCTTAGTGTGGTTGAGGCTGCAAGTGTGTCCTGCCGGACCGTATTTACTCACCCGATCACCCAGCAACACCCTGAGTTCTTACCCTGGGGAAGCCAGCTGGTGCAGAAAGCAAAGCCCCTCCGCCGGGTTGTAGCTTGGGGAGGGAGAGGATGGTGAGCGAGCAGGGGGAGCACGGCCTGGCACCGCGGGCAGGGACCCCACTGCACAGACGCCCAGAGGAGGGAGGGGGTCTGCCCTGGGACCCTGTGGACACACGGCCCCGGGAAGGGATCTCAGACTGGAGACGGAGGTGCTGCGTCATGTCCATGAGGACGTGCAGGCCGGGCCAGGACAGCACCAAGGCCCAGAGGGGCTCGGGACGGCGGGCTCACGCTGCTGCTGGAGCAGCAGAGTGGGGGAGTGGACGGGGACGGGGCCAGGAGGCTGGTAGGTGATTGGAAGGAGTTTGGCTCTTGCTTGGAGAAGACAGGAGGGTTTTGAGCAGGACGGGACCCATGGAGGGGGGGACTGGACGCCCAGGGGGAGGCGTCCGGGGAGCAAGCAGGGTTGGGCTCGGGGTCTTTAAGAAGTGCAGGCAGAAGACCGGAGTTTGGGAGGAATTGGTGCACAGAGCAGACCCCCAGGTTGGCGCCCGTGTTGGCAGACGCGACCTTTGCTCCTAGGAGTGGGGAGGGGGCCGGCGCAGGAGACGGCGTGTGTGCGCGCCTAGCTGGCCTCAGCTGCGCTCTTTAGATTTCTTCCAATTTTTAAATAAGTTTCCCTTTAGGTCAGTAAAGAAAAACAGTCTCTGTTTTTCTTGCATTCCCATGGGTAGAGCTTGGCCAGCCGAGGTCTGGATCTGATCTGCGTGGCTGGGGGTACGCGGCAGAAGAGCTGGGCCCGGGCGTCCTGGGTTCTGACCCGCTCAGTGTCAGGACGGGGGAGGGGTGGGCTCCCGAGCGCCTCGCAGGCTTCTGGGGCGGCGGCCCTGCTGAGGGTGCAGACCCGGGAGCCGTCTGCACAGCTGACCCCCCCGTTCGTTTGTCGCTCCCCAGATAAAGGAGATCGGCTGGGGGGATGTCGGAGGTTGGACTGGCCAAGGAGGCTCCATTCTCGGGACCAAACGGTAATTCCCCCGTCTCGATTCTGACCCGCTCTTAGGAAGGAGAAGGACCCCCCATCCTAGAGGAGTAGCTGGTGCAGAAAGTGCGGCTGGCTCACCTGCCAGCCCCCCGCCCTGTGAGCGGCCCGGCTCGTGCCCTGGAACAGAGACGAGGCACGTGGCTTACAAATATTCACAAGCTTTTATAGTGCATTTTTTTTTCTGATGAGGCATTAGGATTCTTTTAAGGTCCAACAACTGCACAGCTGAACGTTTGTTCCAGTTTGTGTTGTTTTTGTTTTTGTTTTGTTTTAAACAGACTCTCTGCAGACTTGCTTTCCCAGCTCCGCTCTCCGGCCTGGGTGCCGCTCGTGGGGGCTGCAGGGCTTGGCCCGGGGCTGGGGGCCGGGCGAATGGGGTTGGGGAGGCACAGCGGGTGCTGGTGGGGTGTCACCCGCTGTGCAGGGTCTGTCCAGCCTCACGCCTTCACTGAACTGTTTCTAGCACGCTGCCTGGGAAGTCTTTGGAGGACATTGCCATACAGATGCGAAAGCACAGCATCAACGCGCTGCTGATCATCGGTGGATTTGAGGTACGTCCCTGTCTCTGGGCACCTGCTGGTTCGTCCATGCTGGAGGTTTGGGGGGTGAGCGTGGGCAGGCTTCCGGCAAGCACAGTGCAGTGGGCGGGGGGCGGTAGCCCCTGGGCCCCGGGGGCCACTGCAGGAGCCGAGTTGGGGCACAAGCATGGGACTCCCTACCTGGGATGCATCTGTCCACTGAGTTCTCATGCGTTTCAAGTCTGCAGAAATGATGATCTCTCAAATTCAAGGCCCAATGGCCATCAGAGAGCAGGGCAGTTGCGTGGCCCTATCACTTCCGATTGCATGTTGGACCGCAGACCTAAATTTTTTTTATTCACCCAAGATCGGTCCCCTAATAACCTTTCCACTTGCTTTAAAGAAAACATGAGGACCTCAAATAATGAGACCCTTGCCCACAGGAGATGTGGTGTCGCCTCTGTGTGACGCGGTCTGGTGACCCTAACGCCTTCCCGTGGTTTTAACGGCCCCTCCGCTCCCCTCCCCCCCCACACCTGCACGCCGCTGACAGGCTTACCTGGGACTGCTCGAGCTGTCAGCTGCCCGGGACAAGTACGAGGAGCTCTGTGTCCCTATGGTTATGGTCCCCGCCACGGTCTCCAACAATGTGCCGGGCTCCGATTTCAGCATCGGCGCAGACACCGCCCTGAACACCATCACCGACGTAAGTCTGTGCGGTCAGCAAAGCAGGTGCTGCAGACGCTAACCCGGAGGGTGCCTGGCCCGCTTTTATTTGCCGTGCACTAGAGACTGTGAAACCTGGGCTTGTTTCCAGAAAAATCTTTTTTCTTTCCTTTTTCTTTTTAAAGCCTGACCATCTCTAATCCAATGCCCAGAGTTGTTTTATCACCACCTCTTGTCCTGTGCCGCGGCCGGGATGATGTGTCCCTGCCGAGGCCCATCGATCAACACAGAGCATCTGCAGCCCAGCTCGTTGTGGGCTAGGGTTTTGTGATTTGGATAATCATTGAAGTTAGGTTTCTTTTGGCTGGGCCAAACTGACTTCACTCCCATAACATTATTTATTAATTTTTTAAAGATTTTATTTATTTGAGAGATAGTGACAGAGAGTGAGAGAGAGCAGAAGCGGGGGGAGCAGCGGGCGGCGGGGGGAAGTTGACTCCCCGCGGAGCAGGGAGCCCGATGTAGGGCTCCCGGGATCATAACCGGAGCCGAAGGCAGACGCCCAACCCACTGAGCCACCCAGGTGCCCCAGCCCGTAACGTAATTTATTACGACAGATCCTGGGTCTGATGGCCCCTGCATGGATGTTTGAGGCTAGAACCTGAGCTGAGGATTCTCTAATTTTGTTCACCGACCTGAACCCACCAGTGGCCTCCATCCTACCTGTGGCTCCAGCCACGAGCACCATTCTCCCTGTTGTAACTTGGGGACTCTAACTCACATCTGAAAGATCCCTGACGCCCTGTTAGTTGTTTTGGTCAAAAGGCAGTAACACAACAGAAATGCACTTGTGTTACCATATTTGTGAGTCACACTGGGGAAACGGCATGGGAGCTCAAAGCACAGTAACCAACGGGATACATTTCTTCTTTTTAATCTGGCGTCTGAAATTTTCCAGTAAATTCTCCAGTCTTTATTTTCCTTGTGGGACACAGATCCCATGAATGTTTTTCTAGGATTTTTTTATTCTTAACCCCATGGGAACAAATTTGTCTCTAGTGCTGGTAAATAAAAGAAATGCTTTTTAAATAAAATTCAAATGGTAAGTAATGCTTAGCACTTGCTTTTTTGTGTTTTGTTTTGCTTTTCTGAGCTTCTTCAACTTTGTGGTTTCTTTACTAAAAAACCCTGCCCCACGTCTCCTGTGTGTCCACACTGGAGCGTCCCTGTCTGCACTACTAACCTGTGGCCGGGCCGTTGAGCCCACTGTCCTGGTGATCATTGCTCCTGCTTTGGCTGGTGTGAAGCAGTTCTGCTCCTGATCGGGCTCCAACCTTCGTGGAAGGGTCACTGTCCCTCCCTGTGCATGACCGTTGTCCAGGCTTTCCTGCTTTTTTCTCTGCCTTTGGCTGGAGTTTGCATCTGCTTATGCTCAGTGGAAGCAACTGCAAGTTCATGTTTCCTAATTGTCACCTGCTCTGACCCTCCTGGGGGTGGGGGTGGATCGGGACTCGGGACTTGTCCTCGGCAGGGCCTGGCCCCGGTTGGCGTTCACCTCCCTGTGACACGAAGCCAGGAGCCTTCCACTTCAGAGTTGCAGGTTCCTCTGCTACAAAACATGGTTTCCAGGTTATAAAGATTAGATATAAAAAATATGCAGAACCTCTAAATGATCCGCTTTGCTCCCCTTGGAGGGATTTGGAAATCTGTTATATGATCTTTTAAATCTGGTTTCTCATTCGTTTGATTTTCTCCCACCAGCTGCCCAGTTGCAAGGTCGGCAGCTTTGTGTCCATGCCGGTGCCAGACCCACCCTCACTAGGCGAGCAGGTGTGCGGGTGTGCCGAGGCCCCGAGCCCACGGGTGGCTAGGGACCCGTGGTGAGTCGGGTGCTCAGGGTGACCTGGGTAAGAGCTTCGACGCCCACGCCTGGGCCTGCTGAGCGTGTCCTGGTAGGGACGCGGGTACGGGCACGGCATGTGGACATCGCCGGGTTTCTTGTAGGGTTGTGTTTGTGCAAGCCAGAGTGAGGTTGTGTGTTGCTTAGGAGGTTTGGATCTGGGTTGGAACCCGGCGGGGCTGGCTGCATAGAGGGGAGCGGCAGGCTGGAAACGTGCCATAGGGGGCTGAGGTGACGGGGCACAGGGCGCTCTGCGTCCCTCCTGATCTGCTCCGGAGGGACCAAGCACCCGTGAGTTCAGTGCAGGTTCGTGCGCCTGCCCCAGGAGCTCCTCCTGGCCACATGGCTGGCCGCCCGGAGCGCTGGGATTCTGCCCCTGGGGCACGTCGGCGATGCCAAGGATGGTTTCGGTCGGCAGAATCGGCTGTGGGGGCACCGCTGGCACATGGTGGGTAGAGGCCCAGCTGCTGCTGACCCCCACGACCTCAGCACAGCCCCAGCTCAGCCCCACTGCAGGGAGCCATCGGCCCCAGTGTCCGCAGTGCCGAGGCCCCTGACGTGTCGCGTTCTTGGGCGCTTCCGTCACTGTCCTCAGCGATGACGTCCTCCATGTCTGTGCGTACGCTCGGCTTACCCGTGCATCACTCAGAACAGGCCTCTGTGCATCTCGTGTGTCGTGGAGGCTGCAGTGACTCTGGGCACCTCTGAGCAGGGGTTCAGAAAGCCGTCCCGCCACGGCTGCGCGCTCGCAAGGGGGCTGCGTTGGCGTCCCCAGAACTAGCACACGAGCCATCCCGCTCCGAGCTGAGCCCTGTGGTGCCGAGGAGGCTGGAAGGGTGGCTGCCCCGTTAGGAGCTCAAGGAGATGGGAGCCAGGGTTATTTCCCCCCAAGGTGTCTTGTCTTTTCTTGGTGTTCATGCAGGGGTGTTGTGTTGTAAATCCTGTGCGCTCAGAGCCCGAAGCGGAGGTCCGCGTTGCTCCCCGGACTTTGGGCCCGACGTCCCCTCCAGCCCTACCCCTGCTCCCTCTCCTGGCAGGGCTGCCCCCATCCCCACTGGAGGGTCCCAAGAGTTTTCCTGGAGATTGAGGGAAAGTTCTTGTGGTTATGGGATGCCGGATTTAGAGATGCTGACCGCCCTCCTGGCCCTGTGACTCCCAGGGACAGCCAGCTGCACACCTACCCACGCTGGCACTCCATACGGGGCCCCGAGCTGGACCTGGGGCCGGAAGGCAGGGAGGGTCCATGCGGGGACAGGGGGGCAGGCTGAGGTGGAGGAGGGCAAAGGCAGAGGGGCTGCGAGGCAGGGGAGTGACCCCCTCACCTGCCTCCTGGCCGCTCCCTGGACTAACCCACCATAGGCCACAGGCCCGCCATCCACACGTCCTCGGGCCACAGGCCCCTGGGACCCGATGTGTTTTGGGGAAACATGGGGCCATGGAGAGCATGGGCCTCTCCGGGAGGCCTGGGCCGTCCCCCTTCATCCGTGTGCACTCCTGCCACAGCACTCGGTGGTCACGCAGGGGGGTAAGTACAGCCCTACAGGGGTCCGTGCACCTGCGGGTGGTCTCTCAAACCGCCCAGCCGTACAGCGAGCCTGGTGGGTTCGGGGACGGTGGACGGTGGGCCTGTGTCCACTAATGAACACTTGGACTAACACTGAGGTGGGGACCGCAAACCTCTGCCTGCGTGCTTGCGAACAGCCCCGTTCTTTGACCTCGGAGGCAAACACATTTACCTTGGGGTCCCCGAGCAGTGCTGGGGCTCAGGCCGCTCCATGCTGTTGTGTCAGGCTGGGAAGGGCTTGGGGAAGAGCAGGGGTGCACCCTGCCGGGCTCTCCAGCCCAATGACTGCTTGTCGCCCTCTGGGCTGCCTTTCACGCCGGTGCCGGGGTCCCTGCTGAGGCCGAGCCGGCAGGGCCCCGCGCCCCCGTGGACCACACGAAGCTGTCAGGCTGGCCTGGCCCCGATTATGCTCCCACCCAATTGGCCTCCCTCGGGGCTTCCGAGCTGCCAAGAAAGGTTCGTCCGCCACTAACATGGCCCCTCCCCCGGCTCCTGCTTTGCTGCCTGCCTGCTTGCGTCCCCTCCTCCTGGAGGCCTGTGCCCCATGGCAGCATCCCCACTCCCGCAGTGCCCCTCGCTGCAGACCCAGAGCTCCCACGGCCCTGGCCCCGTGGACGCAGCTCACAGGGGGGTCCTGGGGAAGTCCCGCTGACCGCCCGCACCGCTGCTTCAGGCTTTCGAGAGCGCCATTCTGTTCGCTGATGTGCGCGACCGCCACCAGGAGTTTTGTGTTCCCATTTGCGTCCTGCCGGCCACCATTAGCAACAGTGTCCCAGGCACGGACCTGAGCATGGGCTCTGACACTGGCCTCAATGCCGTGGTGGAGGTAAGAGGGCCCCGTGGCTCCATCAGGCCGGGCGCGGGGGGTCTTTCTCTTCCCCACCTGATGCTGCAGAAGGAATGAGCCACAGTTAGGATTCCTTTCGTGGTCCATTAGTGGGAGCTCATAGCGTAGGGAGAGCCTACCACCCACTGTCAGCTGGAATGAGGACGGTCCTCCAGCACTCTGGGTGATGTGTTCTTGCACACCCCAAAACAAGAGGCCCTGGTCTCTTGTGGGCTGTGTCCAGGAGGCTTGCGCTTGTGCTCGGGGGGATGGCCAGCCCGGACGTGGGGTGTGTGCAGGGATTTGGGGCCTGTGATTGTGAAAGCTCTGGGGGAGAGTAGGCACGTCTGCAGCTTGGACACGCCCTTGGTTGTGCAGGGGGAGGCTCGGCTCCCGGGGACGGCCCCCCATCCTCGGGGGTCCGGCAGGTCCCTGCACTGGGCACTGACTGGTCTGTGGGGTCCATGTGGGAGCCAAGGACTTCCGGTAGCACAGCGGTGGGCTGCTATGGGGTGCGGTCCTCCCCTAACAGGAGGAGGGAAGTGGCCAAGGGTGGGCCGTGTTCTTGACATTCACGTCCCCTGGGCTCCAGAGACACCTGTTCAGCAGACACCTGATTCTCAGGAACATCCCCGTCCCGGTCCACGGGCTCTTTCCTGTCTTCACTCTGTTCTGAGCTCCACCTTATCTTTTCACACGACTTAGGTTTTTAAAACACGTGTGATAAAATGTTAGCAGCGTTGGAACTCTGACTCCCGAGTTTCGAGTCCAGTGGGGCCATGCCCAGAGACTGTGCTGGGAGAATCATCCGGCTGCCGCTGCAGACGTCAGTGCTCCCGGATTCCTCGCTGTCCCCCCAAAGGCAGAGCACCCCCTCCGTGTACCCCCAGTGCAGGGTGGGGCTGCCGTCCGTGCTGAGGCTTTGTCAGTGCTGGTTTTAGTAACTGAGGGGAGCATGGCTGCAGTTGCCGGGTTAGGACCTGGTGCGTCTGGGGCCCGCTGTCCCCCGGCCATCTCCCGGGAGCGGGACAGTGGCTGGAGCTGGTGCCGGAAGTGGGCCACGCCGGGGAGAGGTTTGGTGGGTACTTGCAGATGTTATTTCGGGGCCAAGCCAGCAAGCGCTGGACCGGAGTGGTTGTGCGGGATGGAGCCAGGTGAGGGCACCGTGGTCCCGGGAGCATGCACGTGGTCTGCGCCGGCGAGGCAGTGCAAGGCGGCGGATGGAGGGGTCTGCTGTTGCACCCCTGAGCCTGTGTCCCGAGCACGGCCCGCGGCAGATGTTTTCGTAGGAGACCCGCTGTCTGAGCGTCTGGAAGACTCCGGAGGGCCTGTGTCAGGAGCCACTGTCCAGCTCCGAACAGAGCTGCCCTCAGGGGCTGGAGTGTTTGGGGTAGACTGAGAGTGACCAAAACCCAAATGTCACAGGCAGCTTTTCAGAAGAAGCCAACCTAACAGACGTTGCACCGAGCCCATAAAACCTCACGGTGCCCATGTCCCGCGAGGCCACGTGGGCAGCTGCAGCGAGCTGGTCCCAGCCCCGCCGCAGTGGGCAGTGTCGGGACACGGGGTCGGTGAGCACACCAACCAGGGACAGGGGGGGTCGCCGGGGTCTGCAGCCTCAGTCTGTGCGCGTCCCAGCCTGGACACCCCCACGCCGGAATGACCCGTGTTCTTCTCTGTGGCCAGACGTGTGACCGCATCAAACAGTCGGCCAGTGGGACCAAGCGCCGCGTGTTCATCATCGAGACCATGGGGGGCTACTGCGGCTACCTGGCCAACATGGGGGGGCTCGCCGCCGGAGCCGATGCTGCCTACATTTTTGAGGAGCCGTTTGATATCCGAGACCTGCAGGTACGTTGATGCCGCGGGGCCCTGGGTGACACGGTTGTGTCAGGGGGCTGGCTCCGAGGGGAGGGCGATGGGGTTGACAGGACACCAAGGTTTACACACTGTCAGTGACCCCCTCACCGAATTGAGGGGCGTGAGCTGATGCACCAACTTCCCGTTAGACCTCCGTCCGCGGGTCAGCCCAGTGTCCTTGTGGTGTCCATGTGGGAGGGTGGCCGGGGCACATCCTTCCTGGAGCCCCGAGGCCCGCCTGCTGGAAAGGCTGGGTGTAACGGGGGCGTGCACGGCGCCCACCGGGGTGGCGGGACCTGTGAGGTCACGGTGCGGCGGGCTTAAGGCACTAAGAACAAAACAGAACCAAACTGAACGTCTGTTCTCTCTGGTTGGCATGCTTCCTTTAAAGAGTTTTTTTTTTTTTTTTAATTAACAATGTATTTTTTAGAGCAGTTTCAGGGTGAGGACAGAGTTCCCCCGCACGCCTGCCCCACACCCAGCAACACCCCACCAGGGTGGGAACGTTGTCAGAACAGATGCCCCCCCACCCACGCTGATGCATCCTCAGCACCTGGGGCCACAGCTGACATCAGGGTTCCCTTTGGGATCCCAAGGCTGACATGCGCTTTCCAAATTGGCAAAGGTTCCTAGGGCCCAGCTTTATGGGGGGTGAGTGGCCAGTGCAGGGGAGTCGGGCTGCGCAGCCCCCGTGGGAAGAGAGGGGAGCTGGTGGGAAGGCTCCAGGGGGGCATTGGACAAAGACAAGCCTTAGTAAGACAGACACAACTCAAACCCACAAAAATACAAATAAAACTAACTTTGTGCTGCTGACGTGAGCACAGGAACTTTAAGGTCTTTCTATGTTTCTGGACCACATAAATCAAGTAGAGACCTGCTTGATATGGATTTCTTCACAGTGTGGAATTAAATGTTTGTACTTCAGAAAGCCACCTCAAGACCGTGCTCGGCCAGCGCATGTCTCTGCTCCGGCACACGGGCCCTAACCACTGTGATGACGACTGAGGTTTGCTTACACGCAAACACCTCCGTTCCTTGCCCAGTTTCTGTGCTCAAGACACAGGACTCCTTTCCTTATAAACTCTGTACATGAATTCAAGTCTGTAACAGCTTCTCCTGGCCCCCAAATCCTTAGGCAGTTAGGAGATGATGTACGACGTCAGGTACACCAGTTTTTCCTCCGTCGGGCAAATGAGGAGCGACGGACACCGGGGACACACAGGCTCAGTGCACAGATGATGTGAATTCGCGATTTCAGAGGGAAAGCTATTCCTTGTGGAAAGCGTGCTGCAGGGAAGCTGGGCCCCGAACGCTGTCCCTGTGCCCAGTTGAGCGACAGCCCTCCCGGGCCGAGCACGCTGCCTGACCTTGTGTGCTGGTCTCTTCCGGCCCGTGTGCACCCCCGGTCTGTGCGTGCCGGGCGCTGTCCTCTGTGCCGTAGTGGGAGCCCTGACACGCTCCCTGCTGCGCGTGCGATACTAGGGTCACGCGGCGGGCGCCGGGTCCAAGCCTCCCGTCTGACGGACTAACAACGCTCTTCCCTAGTCCAACGTGGAGCACCTGACGGAGAAGATGAAGACCACCATTCAGAGGGGACTCGTGCTCAGGTACGGACACTCGTCCTCGCTCACTGAGCCCGAGCTTCCCAGACGACCCGGCCCCAGGGTCGGAACACTCAGGGGCGGTCATCAGTCACCACTGAAGAAATGCAGGAGGGGCCGTTGCACACTGCGTCAAATACGGCATACGTTTACATAACTCAAGGGTACTTCGCAAAAATTCACTTTTGCTTTGTAGTTTTTTGTTTTGTTTTGGTTTGGTTTTTAAAGATATCACCAAGTCATTTCTTTAATTAAGCCACTGGCATTTCTAAAGAACACGTGTAGTCCAGGCGGGCACGGGCCGGTTGCCCACCCGCCGGCGCCCTGAGCCCGCGTCTCCCCTCGCCGCAGGAACGAGAGCTGCAGCGAGAACTACACCACGGACTTCATCTACCAGCTGTACTCGGAGGAGGGCAAGGGCGTGTTCGACTGCAGGAAGAACGTGCTGGGCCACATGCAGCAGGTGGGGCCTGGGGCCCGCGCGGCACTAAGCAGGCCGCCGTCCGGAGGCTCTGTGTAGATGGATGCCTTATTTTAGCCACAATGGGGAAAAAAACTGTGTGCTCATGAGATGTTTTTAAACATCTTGGCATTTACTTCCCTATGTCATAGTTCCATTTCAGTCATACCAGATACCACCAGCTTTAGAAATTCTGTGTTGGGGTAGATGGAAGACGATCAATGTTCAATGTTGGAAACGTTGATTGGAAAAACCTAATCAAATGAAGTACTTCATTCAGTTTTGGGCCTTAGTAACTATCTACACATCAGACAAATGATACTTGAGATTTGCACAAATTCGGAATGGTCTGGAAGGAATCTTGGGGTGCGCTTTGGTTTGCAAGCACGTCCCAGATGACAAAGCCGGAGATGGGTGTGGATTAGGGCCACAGCTCAGGAAGGCATACCTGTCCTGGTCCCAACACTGCCTCCTCTCCCCCCTTCCCCCCGCTATCTTAGGGTCTTTAACTTAGGGTCTGCTCCTCCATTCCAAAGGGCCCGTGCGCATCTGTGTATTTTTGTGGGAGCTAGCCCACAGGGTTGGTCAGATTCTTAATGGAAACTGTGACCTGTTCCGCCCCAAAATAAGACTAAGACATCCGATAGGAGATTTGAAAATAATGAAGCTGCGAGCTGCACAGCCCCATGAAGGGTGGGGGTGAGCACTGGGAAGCTTGCCTCGCAGACTGAGCTCTGGCCGCAGGTCCCAACTACATACGAGCAGGTAAAAACATGCAAGAACAAAAACACAAACCCCCCCCAAACCCTTATTTACAGATCCTGAATCTCTTAAAAGTATGATGTGCGTTTTGTGAAGTAATCGTACCTTTCAGGGAATTTTGACAAGCTGTGTCAGTAACCTCTCTGTAACTGTCCGCCCACAGGGTGGAGCGCCTTCACCCTTTGATAGAAACTTTGGAACCAAAATCTCTGCCAGGGCCATGCAGTGGATCAGCACGAAACTGAAAGAGGCTCCGGGCAAAGGTAGGGAGCGGTGGCCGTGGGCGGGGACGGCCACGTCCTCTGGGACCACGCTGCATTGCTATGTGGCTTTCAAGGCTGTCATTCAGAGTGACCCTAAAAGGCAGTGCTTTTTTGCTCCTGCTCGTCGGTGGCGGGAGGCGCTCCGTAGTCCAGTGCCGTCCTCCTTGAATCGAGGATGCTGCCCATACACTAGGCTCCCCCAGCAGGACCCTAGATGTGACCTTCCCTTGTCTTTGGCCACACGGCACACTCTGAACTGGCCTTGACTTGGGACACCTAGGACTTACGGATTCTTCATGACCTTTCTTTTCAGAGAAAACAGGAACTGGCAGGTGTCGGGACGGTTTGCTCCTTCCAAACCTAGCCTCTCTTCCCGCACATTTCCCTCCCTCCCCACCAGAGGCAGCCTCGGAATTGCAGAATCCTTCTGCTTTCCCGTAGTCCTGCCACCTCGGGGACACCTTCACAGGCCCCTGTGGTTTACGTGAATGGAAGCCGACAGTGTGCATTTCCCTTTGCTGGGGTGTTGATGTGCACCCGGCTGGTGTTCCTGACCCTTGGCCCGCATCCCGGCGTCCCCAACCACAGGCTCACCTGCAGCGCATGCGGTCTCCTTGGTCCTGCCCGCGTGACATGTGACCTGTCCCTGTCGGGCTGTCGCTGTGACGGGGGCAGCTCCACTGTGGCTTTGAGGCGAACCTTCCAAAGCGAGGAGGGGAAGACAGCTTCCCTCGTGCTTCCTTCAGGGTCCCGCTGCTTCCCTGAGTTCTTCCGGTATTTTCCTGCTTTTCTATTGCTTAGTAACACTTACCTTGTTGACATATATTTTTTGCTTTTATATTATTGTATAGACTTAAAAATGTTTTGATGACTTCACAAAAACTTGTTTTACTTTATATTCTAGGAAATTCTATTTCATATTCTGCCCATCCCATATTGCAGATAGGGCTCTCGTGGGGCTTGTCATTTTGTGCAAGGCACCTCTCCTCAATCTTTAGGTAGACTGCTTACCTTCTCCTTTATGGTTTGAGCTCTTTTGCTCTAAAACATTTTTACATTTACTTCTTTGATCCACTTGAAGTCTGAGGTCTGATTTCATGTGGATCATCACTTACTTGGGTGCCATTATTTGAGAAGTCTCTAATCTCCGTCACAGACCAGGTATCTGTGAAGCTGGTGGGACAATCTCTGGGTTACTGGGTTTGCGGTTTGGCATTCAGTTATTGATCCTTGCCAGTATTCCAGCTTTATACTGATAGCTGGAAAGGTGAGGCCCCTCTACCCTGGACTTTTTGGTTTCTGCTATTCTTGGTCCTTTGTGCTGTCACAGTCCACCAAAAACTCTGTTGGATGTATTAAGGGAATTACATTTAATCAAATCATTTGGGGGAGGAACTGACATTTTAAAAATATTTTCTAATTCATGAACACTGTATCTCCATATATTTAGGCCTTTCCGTATCTCTTATGAAAGCATAAAGATCTTGCAATATCTTTTGCTAAGTTTATTCCTGACTCGGTATTTAAAAAAATGTTATTGTAAGTATATATATTTTTTTACTTATTGCTGGCATACAGAAATGCAACTTTTTTTTTTAAAGGTTTTATTTATTGGACAGAGAGACACAGTGAGAGAGGGAATACAAGCAGGGGGAGTGGGAGAGGGAGAAGCAGGCTTCCCGCTGAGCAGGGAGCCCGATGTGGGGCTTGATCCCAGGACCCTGGGATCATGACCTGAGCCTAAGGCAGACGCTTAACGACTGAGCCACCCAGGCGCAGAGGCCGCATGCAGCTCCCGGGGGAAGGTGCTGGGTGGCACCACTCTCGATGCCCCCCCCCACCGAGACCTCACTGCAAAACCCAGCTGAATGCTCTTTGCGCTTTTAGCCTTTTTTTGTAAAAGCCAAAATCCTCTTTGGATTTCTCTTGTTAGCGGAAATAGGGACCAGGACACCTCCTGCTTCCTTTGTGGGGGGCGTGGGCTATGGAGTTTACCGAAGTTTACAGAAAGAGCAGTTTTGTAAGTTCTGTTTTCTAGGAAATTTTCTGGTGCCCATGGCACTTTAACCCCCTTTACTGCGGACACCTGACCTCACCCCCGTTTTCCTGACCAGTCTGACCAGACCTGTGTCCGTTTCATTTCTAACCTTTGACTTAAAAAACAGCAAGGCCAATAGATCCAACCTAATTTTAGTCTTCAAAGAACGGACTCTGACTTTGATTGTTTCCACTTTGGGATTTTTCCCCACTTCACCTGAGGATGCTCATCTTACCTTGAGGCCTCCCCGTCTATGCACACACGAGCCTCGGCTTCCGATGCCATCTCACCGGAGCCGGCTCTTTCTGCGATGGCAGCCAGTGACACCCTGTCTCCCCAGCACCGAGAAGCATGCGCCTTCCTTCCTTAGCTCTGGGGGCAAACCGCTAAGCGCAGGTAAACCCGCCCCTCTCGGGGGGGGAGTGTGCAGGGCGAGGGGCCGTGCCGTGACCCAGGCGCCTCCTCATCCCTGCCCTCCCCCGCTCTAGCCCTGTGGGGGCTCAGTGGTACCGGAGCCAACAGCCCCCGAGGAAGCATAGTCGTGCGCCGGGTCCCTGGGCTCGTTGCCCACCTCATCTGCAGGCTCCTGAGTGCGCAGGGACCCCGCCTCCTGCCCAGGCCGTCTGAGTTCTTCTCTGCCCCCGCCAGGATTCTGCTTCGCACCGTCAGCAAACCTCCTTTTCTCCCTCACCTCTCCACCTGTCCTCAACGTTACCAATCATTTGTTCTGACATCACTCTTTCTCTCTTTTACAGGAAGAAGATTTATGAGCGATGATTCCATCTGTGTGCTGGGAATAAGCAAGAGAAACCTTCTTTTCCAACCTGTGGCCCAGCTGAGGCAGGAGACAGACTTTGAGTAAGTAAATAAGCCCTCTCCAGTCTACACCTCAGTGCGGGGGCAGGAGTGCGGGACGGGGCGGAAGGACGCCGCTGCGGGAGGTATGGACACGAACCCGTTCTCACGATCTAGAAAACACAAGCCTTTGAGAAACAGGGCAGGATTTCTAGAAACACACAGAATGGTTCCCAGTAGCTTACGAAAACTGCTGGATCCTCCATCAGCCCCCAAGTGCACGAAGCCCGTCCTCCGGGATGAGGCCGTCCTGACTATTGCTTCCTCCTGCCCCACAGGCACAGGATCCCCAAAGAGCAGTGGTGGCTGAAGCTGCGGCCGCTCATGAAGATCCTGGCCAAGTACAAGGCCAGCTACGAGGTCTCCGACTCCAACCAGCTGGAGCCCATGCCTCACCGAGGCCACGAGGAGCCTGCTGCCATCTAGACGCCGCTGGACCCGCCCCACCCGGCCAGTGCAGCTCGGGACTTCCGTTTACCACCCGTCTTTGTAACACTTAAGTTATTTATCGGCACTTTGATGCGAGTACTGTTGATGTTAATACCTAGTCACAGAGCCCCCATCCTGTGTCCTTCATCCCCACGGGACCCTAAGACTCCAGCACGAGCTGTCGGCTGTGTCTCCTACTGTGTCCTGCTTTAAACCGTGCGTAGCCAGTAGAATTAAACATTTAGCTCAAACTCCCAACTGTGGTCCTCTGTTTTTTTAGGTAGGAGTTTAAATCCTCAGGATCTGGGCAACTGTAAAGGTTTTTCCGGCAGTTCTGGGGGCAGGGATGGACACAATGTACTGGCAGCAGTGAACTAGGCCCTATGCAAGGACAAAGGCTCCGCTCTGACACACAAGAGAGGTGACCCAACTCCTTCTAAAGTGATGCCAGGCGTGGAATTAAAAACAAACCAGCAATGTGTGTGTTAAGAACAAGGCCAGCGTACATGCACGGTTTCGCGCCTGGCGCCCGCTGAGCCCCACACCCTCCTACCAAGGAAGCACGTGCCTGTGTCTGGTGGGACCCACAGAGCCCTGCTTCACTGAGGACAGGGAGCTAGCTGACCTACATCGGTGCTAAGTGAACAGCATTTCTGCCTCTTTTGTCGTCTGAGACGTGCAGAGAGCTGGAGGGTCACAGCCAAGGTCTGTTCAGAGACTGAGAACGGCACGGTCCAGGAAGAACCAGCGCAGACTGTGCTTTCTGTGGGAGATCCGTAAGGTCACAGACGCTCCCTCCCATAAAAACCGTGGGAGCAGCTTAATGCGCTTATAGTCCGCCAGGCCACCCATCTGTTCCAGACTGTTCCACGGGTCTGTGGTGTGAGCACACTGGTTTTATAAATCAAGGCACCTCAGGTATCTTTGTTCACTTATTTTTTAATAAAGGCCCCAAGAATTACTCTAGCAAAATGTCACTTAAAATGACTAAAGCACAGGTAGGTCAGGGCAGAGCGTCTTTTATTTTTAAGTTTTTAAAATAAATGCTCCAGAATCAGTAAGGTAAAATAAGCGTTTATATCATCAATATTTTAAAATTATCATCTGTGCAACTCTAGCATTTAACACATAATTATTTCAATTTATTCTAAGACAGAAAAGCTTGGTCTGACCAGCCACACAAGAATGAGGTATGAGCAAAATGTCGGGGAAACAGTAACTTCTCTCTTTCAAACTAAATTAGCTCAGGCTTCATGTTGAGGAGCCCCACATGCCTGTAGGTTCGGTTGAACTCCTGAGCACATCAGAATTACTCGCTATTTTATTATCCATGACGGGTCCTTGGCGATTTTTGCATTCTCTGGTCCAAGCAGAGCCAACCCGTGTGCGCTCTTCCCAATGCCAAGGTACCTGGAAGGCAGGTGGGGATACGTCAGGGCTGCTTCCCACGTTAGAAGCCTGGGGCAGCCACGGGAGGGCTCTGAACACTAGGCCACGTGGTACATACTTGTTGCTCACGTCGATGAGATCCTCGTGGCTGACGGCGAATAGCTGCTCCCGGTGCACCTGCTTCATCTCATCCGAGAGGCCACACAGGAAGTGGTCCAGCCCTGACCATGAACACGCTAACTCAGGCCAGCTGACCAGGGCGGCAATCCTGTTCTAAGGGCACCCGAGGGACACACTTCCACCAGAGGTCACACTGTTGACCTTCACGTGCCCACCAAGCCGTTCCCCTTGGGGGTGGAGGCCAAGTCAGAGTGGCTCCCTCCCCCAGACTCGGGCCTCAGATCACTCAAGCTCTGAGAGGACAGAATGCCACCCTCTGCGAGTGGCCAACACCGAGAAGCTCTGGCTCAAAGGGGACATCTGTGCATCATAAAGGAGGATGGAAGAGGGGTACTGTGGCAACACCAGGTATCAGGTGCACTGTGTTGTTCACTCCAAATACCTCTGTCTGAAGGAGCCACGGGAGCGTCCACGACGGAGAAAACAGAAAGCTTTGCTTCGTCAATGTCCTGCTGTGTGAACCTCCCAGCCTTAGCCCAGTCCACAGCCTTCGAGAAAGACTGCAGCGTCTCTGTGGAACGTGGATCCCTAGGAGACCAGAGAGACCCATGCTGACCTACTTCACCACCAGATTATTAAATACCCCTCTCTGATTTTGCGAAGAGAGGAGATCAGGTGGACAGGGAAGACGACTCATGGAGAGACACTAAGAATGGTTGAGTAAAACCCCTCACATCCTGAAGACACACGCGGACTAGACGAATAACCCCCCATAAAGGGGCCGGAGAGCTCGACGCCCTCGCTTCCTGCTCTGTGCTCAGCAGCATGCGCCCCGCAGCGGACACCGAGGGCGGGGTCACAGCCGCACTCCCGTCCTTCTCTACAAGCACACACACGTCCTCCAAGCGCCCAGGGACGTGGTGAGGCGGGAGCAGAGAGAGACTGCATCAGAGGGGCAGCAAACTCATCCTGCCCGCAGAGTATTCTAAATACTCCGTGTCCTCGGAAACTTTCTAAAGAAAAGGGGCAAGAAGAGTCAGGGCCGTGACCACGAAGTGCCCGGCACCCCACTGAGCCTCTGTGCTGGACACGAGCCCAGAAAGCTCTCAGCCGGTCTCCTCTGTAACTGAATCTGGGTGTCTGGTAGCGGGCGTATTTAAGCCAAAGTCTCCCATTATGTACTCCTGCTCCTAGACACGGACAACCGAGAGGGTGCTGCTGGGTGTGGTGACGCGCTGAGGAAATGAGAAACAAGGGGAAACACGTCTTCAAAGGCTGAGCCCAACATGTAAGACAGTGACCCGCGGATGCTTAGTGGAGCCGGGGAGACGCGGCGCTCAGACTCACCGGTATGAGTAAAGTGTAAACACCCCGTCACGGCTGAGTCTGGCGCCTCCACCGTAAGCACCACCCTTTTCTCGAATTTCTGTATGCAAGAATTTGGCAGTCATCAAGCGTGCAAGGATCTTAAGACTGAAATGAATGATTAAAAAGCACAAGTTAAAAACCATAGGCCTGGCAGGGAAGTATCGGATGTAATATAATCATGTACTTGCTGTCTTTCTTAGGTGAAAACTCGCTGTCTTACATTGGGTAAAAACAAAAATACAGTAAGATACACTCTGGTCTCCCCTTTCCTAATGAACGAGAACAAACATGAGGAGAAAAACCTAATATGAATTTTCAAACGAGGGTTGTGGGGAAAGGTGGTGGGGGACGCGAAGGTCCCTCAGACACGTTTAGGCCCTTCCTGGCTACGGCACACACGGACACTAACAACCTGATCAAGGAACACATTACTAAACTTTATCACTCAAGGCAAACGTACAAACCATCCTTTCTCTAAATCCCCCCACTGGTGTGCGCATGGGTGTCTCTACCAAAACACAGAGAGCTCTTAACCAGATTTCTGTAGGTATCCGCCCTAAGAAAACACACTCCAACAGAGTGACCTTCTGAGTCCTACACTCGCAACAGAAGTGCAGTTATGGGGGGTGCCCTGCAAAAGAAAAGGAATATTCTAGCAAGTACCTTCACAGGACAGAGAGTGGGGCCCTACTCTCCCCTGACTGGTCTAAGTCCAGACACTAACTGGAGGAGCAAACAGGTGTCCCCGGAAGACGGTGGTGGGGGAGCTGCTCATATCGTGGGTTTGTGGTGCCAGACCTATGCAGACTGGCTCCCTACTCCCAAACAGGGCCTGAGGGGCTTACCTGCCACATAATTTTGAACATTCTGAATTACACAAGGAACACAAGGTCACTGCTAGAAAATTATACAGAGAAAGGGGGAAAAAAAAATCGATACTCCTACTACCCAGGGTCCTTCTTATAACCTCTCCATGCTTTAAATCTGTTTAATAGAATACGTATCCATAGTCTGTAGAGCTCAACATACAGAACCCATGTTTGTTTCCCAGGAACATGGTAACAAACTGACCACACTGCTGAACACCATCCTGTGAGTCTATTTCCCTCATGGAAACGTCCTTTCCCTTGAACCCAGAAGCAGCCTTGCGTGTCTGCGCCCTGCGTGTCCACCAGCCATCCCTGCCCTCCCGTCCCCTTCCCGGGAAGCCCCTGCCCACCCCTGGCCCCGTACCTGGCGTGGTCTGGGTCTGCGTAGGGGGCAGTCCTGATGCATTCGCCCATGTAGTTCACTGGGAACGGAAGCAGGAAGTGTGTCTTCATCTGGCACGGTTTGAAGGTGGGGTCCTGAGGAGGACAGGCCGGCCGTGTTGGCTCCTCCTGCGGGCTGCCCCCCCACCTCGCCCCCACTGTCATCAGGTGCTCATGGCTAAGGGCAAAGCACTGGCAATCCTGTCATTCCACACAAGTGCTCACTTTACAATGGAATACTCCAAAACCCTGACCCGAGGCTTCAAAATACAGTTCCTCAATCAGAAACATTTCCTCCTACATGGTTTCCATCCATAAGTGACTGTATGACCTCATCTTTGCATTTTCCCCCCCGAGATATGTTAAATCGCCATCCTCTGATGAACCAAACCAAAAGCCATCACCAACAAAGCAGAGCAGGGAGAGGGGTGCACGGTGCCCAGCTGATGGTGACACCCCCAACTCGGCAGTCCGCCGTGCAGGGTGAAGGCACGGGGAGCACAAGGGCCCCGGACAGGCCCAGGGCCTGCACCCCTGCCTGCAGGGGAGGGGCCCCCATGGCTGAGGCACCGGCCACCCCACACTTGACAGGGCACAGGTAAGATGGGAAACCGCTCTTCCCAAGGGGACAGGGACTATGCTTCCTTACTGTTATCAGCTTCCTTATGACTTGGGGGCCGCTAACATGGGTGCTTCCATTGGATCCACTGGGTGCAGGTTTCTGAAAATAAAATGTTTCCAAGAGAAATGAGAAAAATCCCAAACTCAACCTACATGGCTACGGTATGGTCTAGGAAACTCACGGCCAATAACAAGTGTTGGGGCACACATGCTTCTGTGTTTCCAGTAACACTGTTTGAAACAGATGGGATTTCTGTACGGGCTTCCAGACGGTCAGGGAGAAGGAGGAGCAGGCCAGCTTCTCAGGGACTCTGCTCCCGGCAAGACAGGCCTATTCTGCCCGACAGGGTCACAGGCGCACGAGCATCAGCTCACAGTCTGCGGACTGTGCGCCTTCTCCAGGAGAAGGCTTCTGGACTGTTCTGGTGAGCTACATGAAAGCCGCTCTGTACGGTCATGGAAGTGGGCGGCCGGTGCTAGGTACGACCCGGAGAACGAGCCCCGCGCTGC